AATGGATCACAGATATGCACAATCCATCAAAGCACATCAAGGTGCAGTCTATTCGTTACAGAGGTCTGTTTGTGATTCCTATGCTATAGGATACCATTACCTCCATTATTTTCAAACTCTCCCCCCCCCCTCGTCGGCTGTCTGGCAGGATGACCGCTGCTACGTGTCTCAGCTTCTTTGAATCATAAGATGATGATAAATCAGACAGACTAAAGCGGTGGAATACGGACCAAAGGATAAAGCAATCAATTAGCGCAGGAGTGCTATTCCTTCAGTCACCTCCAAGTGCAGTTTCATCGAGTCTTCGAGCTAACGTTGGAGCCCAGAATTGTGGTAGTCAATTTGTAAGAGACGGGAAATTCTAGTTAATCTGATATTAGCCAACTGCGTGGTGCGCGCGCGCCTCTGAACAGAGTCATCCGACCGAGCTGGAACTGCACAGGACCCCGGCAAAGCAGTACTGGTGGATTATTCGGCTGAGTGGTGGTGGCTCATCCAAAAGGAGTGCTGGAATGAGGGTATTCAAGAACCAAGGTGTCAATGAAAATGGATCGCACCAAGCAAGTACTACCGCTTCTATTGTTCTCTTTGACATGCTTGACGAGGGGAAATAATCGACTGGGAACAAAATCGGCAAAACCCCATCAGGAAGGGTTCCGTTGAGACAACTGAGAACGAAAAAGCGCATGATAGCTACTTATTTCCTGTGGGTGTCTGCCTTGATCACACTGAATAACCTACTACCGAATACACTGAACTTCCGGTTTCTCACAGACTTTACTGTTTACAAGTAAGTAAGCAAATCAGGTGCTGACCAGAACAAAGCAATCACCGATACGCACACAGATCACGAACTGAAAGTGGACACTTTGAAACGAAATCGGGTCGGCAGCAACGTGTTTACATACGTGTTTGCCACTGACTCCGCTGAATCAACTAAATGGATACAAAGAGCAATATGGTCAGCCATGAGTTGCCCACGACAAGTTGTGAAACGGGTGAAATGCATGCGATCAATCGGAACAAGTCTGGTTCGGAACAACGGTCANCCGGATGATGGGGATAAACAGAGGTCGACAGTAAGAAGCAACTTACCCATTTAGTTGACTGGAACATTTTTAGATCCAATGGGTCTCCGGACAATACACCCTCGATTAGAGTCAGTGAATGACAAGTGGACATACACTCGAGCAACGGTCCCCGACCAAACTCACTGGGGTCAAAATTGGGATCGGTGAAGCGGCCATCTTGCACAGCGACCACACCCCACAAATCCAANATCCTCGGTCAGAGTACCCGTCTATGAAGGACCGGATAGGTGAAACACAACGGATGCATACACGTAGAAGAGACAAAAGGATTGGAGAAAAACTGCAATCAGGTTAAATAAAGTTCACACTGAGCCTCCGATAAAGTAGATCCGTTCACTTCAGATTTTACAACCGCTCACAATACACTTTCGTTCGCCGATTTTGGTTCCTGCATCATGGCTACCCATTTGGATGACTTAGTAAAGGGAAGATTGAGATGTTCAAATTAGTAGCAGAGTGAAAAGTATAAATGGAAAAATAGAGAATTCATGAAGGCTAAGATAGCAACGATGCTGAGCAGTTGCACGAGCATCACTGTTTACGGATCGCATTTGTAGCAAAACAGTCTATGTCAAATTTCAGTAAGATAACCTGAATGTTGGTGCAGCATAGTTGTTTTACCTTTGTTAAGAATCCTCAGCAGTGTGTTCCCTCATTTCGATTGCGATTCAAAACTGGATTCACTTCAACATGGCCTGGTGAGGGTTACTGCGGCTCGTTCCAAACCAACAACACGTGATTTAACAGCTTACCGGATACTGTCGTATCCGACGTCGGCAAACAAGCGACTACTCCGTGATGTAATGGAACTGATCATAGTCGGGACAGCGTTTGTTGTTTTAAAACTTCTCAGTCTAATAATTACAGACAAACGTTCCTAGACAATCCGAAGGGTATACAAATAGTTTACTGCATGCTGTCATATCGATGTCATAACTCTACAACGTGCGTTGTAGATTTTATTCAAACGCGAATAAGTAGAAATGTTGGATTTGTGCGCCAGTTTGAGAAGAGGCTGCAGATAACAATACAATATGCATTCAATCTTCGATGTAGTAAGTTGAAAATCAGTGGAGTACAGAATCCGAAGTTACTCTGTTGGTTTATACTACCAAATTCTCGAGTAGTGCTTCATCCGAGGCTGGTAAATTTGATTCACAGGTTGGGCAACTGGTGACGTATTTTGTGTCGGAGAGCGCGATTATTGTACCCCCACATAGCCCACACTACGTTGCCTGCAGGGGCCGAGTCATGTGGAAGACCATCACATCGCCTCA